GAGGTTTAACAGGAAGGTTTTGGCTGGCAGCTCATGTCTTTCTTCTTCGAAGGCTACATGGTATCTCCTTGACTGGGCCTACTCTTTCTCTCTCTACATCTGTTTGGATTTTCTGCCTGCCTTTACTCTGTTAAGCCACTGGCCGAAAACAGCTTCTTTATGAACCAATGACAATAAAACATATTCACAGCATTCAGAGGGAAATCCCATATCATGCAGGGTTACATCTTGGCTTTGACCCATGAGAAGCTTCTCATCTAATAGATGAGGAGTGTGAGGGGTAGGGTGAGACAAAGTGCAGTCTGCCTGGGGACAACTGCTGGAGCCAAAGCAAGGAAAATATCAAGGAGCATTCAGTGGGTCAGGAGAGAAAAGCTGGAGACATAGAGAAGGGTGAAGGTGAGCAGGGCTTTGAATCACTAGTGAGGACTTTGGTGTTTAAAACTGGGCATGGTGGCTCGTGCATGTAATCCCAACTTAAAAGCATAAGGTAGGCGGATTGAAAGTGTGAGGTTAACCTGCATTATATAGCAAGATGCTATCAAAAAAAAAGAGAGAAAAGAAAAATCTGGTGCACACCAATAATTTCAGCATTCAGGTGGCTGAGACAGGAGAAACACTCTAAGTTTGAGGCAGTCCGGGCTGTATAGCAAGACCCATTCCAAAGAGAACAAAACACTTGCAAGTCCATGTATTTGAGTTATGAATGAGGAGAAAGAGACGTTCACAGGGACATGCCATTCTCCCTCTTCCTCTAGGACTTTGCATATTTATTTTATTTGCATATTTGCATATGTGACAGGAAAAATATACTTGGACAGGAGAAAATTCAAGAGGAGGAAAGGGAAGCATCAGGATAGGGATCTGGTCTGCATTTCAGGACTTGCTGTTAATTAGTTTCATCAGGTACCTGAACTGTGACTTGAGTTTTAATTATATGCTTTAATACAAGTTGCTGGTAGCATCATATCCCTCAACTGCTGCAAAAAGTTCTATCAAATAGAGGAGTCTTTGGCTGAGAATGAGGCAGTCTTATTAAGTCCAGAATTAAGTAACCTAATTTGTTAGGTCAACTATAATCAAAATACATCGACAAAGTGAGCAAATTGGTTGTTTCTACTCTGAGAGGCACATCCTTAAGCAGACGCTAACTGTAATTAGGCTGGAGTAAAATACAGTGCTAACCCGACAGGTGTAAGATCCCAGGATTGCATCATAATTGCTTAGTATTTTCCATCTTGGCCATGAATGTAAACTGACTGTGTTACACAGAGTGGCCTGAGACACCCATGACTCCATGGTAGGAACTCTTTTGGAGTCACCTGGATGTAGTTAGAACCTTGTGACACATGATTTCACAGGCAAAGAGACTGATGGATAGTGCAGAATCAAAAGGGAGAGTTATCTCTGCCTGTCATTTGGTAGAAAATCCAAGAATTTTCCTAGTCATATTTGCAATGCTCTACTCTGAGCACACATATATTTTTAATAATTAAGGTAATGATTTTAATAAGAAACTCAGACATGAGTACCCATCTATAATCTTGTAGTCTGATGGAAAAGACTCACTTGGTCACCTAGATGGCTGGCTAACCTGGGAGGCACCAGAAGTGATGCCCAACATCTGTAGCACCAAAAGTGATGCCCAACATCTGAAGCACCAGAAGTGATGCTCAGCTCCATAGGAAAGTAGCCTAAAGCAGTTCCACAAAAGAACCACTGTGCCTCAGGGAGCTTTTCAGCTTCCACTTGTGATCTCTCATACCCAAGGAGCACACGTTTTGGAACTCTACAGGCAAGGTTGAGATCCTACTACCGATGTTTGCCATCACTATGTGAATAGTTCCCCCATCTATACAAAAGGGAACATTCCCAGCTGGTGTGGTGGCTCACACTAATAGCCCCAGTACTTACCAAGTGAAAACAGGAGTTCCAGATCAATCTGGCTGTCCTCGTTTTCCTTTTGCTGACGTCATAGAACGCTTAAAAAACTACGTTGGAAGAGGAAAGAGGTATTTGATCTTGATCTTACAGGTAGCAAAGGGAATAATGCTTGATCAAATATATGGGATCCCTGTGACTCAAAAATATTTACGTTGGAAACAAACTATCTAAACTACCAAATCTTGGTTCAAGGAATATTTATTTTGCTGACATGTCTTAGTTACTTTTCTATTGTTGTGACAAAACACTATGATCAAGGGAACTTATAAAATCAAGCGTTTAATTGGGCTTCTGGTTTCAGAGTGTTAAGAGTTCACAGTGCTAGAGCAAAGGCACGGCAGCAAGAACAGCTCAGAACTCACATCACCAAAAGCAAACAGGAGGCAGAAAGCAAACTTGGAATGGGGGCTTTTGACAATTCAAAACCTGCCCCCAGTGGCATACTTCCTCCTACAAGGCTACATCACCTAATCTCTGATGGGGGAGTGATTTCTTAATAATAAAGAAACTGCCTCGGCCCTCATAGGACAGAAAATTAGGTAGGCGGAGTAGACAGAAGAGAATTCTGGGAAAAAGAAGCTGAGAAGGAGTCGCCATGGTGCTCCCACTCCAGACAGACGCAGGTTAAGATCCTCTCTGGTAAGCCAGCTCATGGGCTACACAGAATATTAGAAATGGGTTAGAACAATATGTAAGAGCTAGCCAATAAGAAACTGGACCTAGCCGGGCCAGGCAGTGTTTGAAAGAATACAGTTTCCGTGTAATTATTTCTGGGTATAAACTAGCCATGCGGGCGGCCGGGTGCCGGGGACGCAGCCCTGCTGCTCCTATTTCAACAGGTGGCGCCCAGACGTGATGGGCTAAATCCACTTAAAAACCTGAGAGGGCTTAAAAAGGAGAGAGAGAGAATTTAAGACAGCTTTTTGCTGTTTCTGGGTTGCGTGCCGCAAAGAAATTGTCCTGACTCGGCAGCAGGAAAAAACTGGCTGTTTTAAAATGCCGGCTTTCTGGGCTGTGCCGCCATTGTGATCTCTGTCTGGCTCCGGCGGGAGACAGAGCTTATGAATGGAGCATTTGGATTAAAGTGCTACGATTTGTTTGATGGCAACTAGACTGCTGTGTGCCTAAAAGGGGGACATTGTGTGCCGCAGCTCAGAGGCACAAGCAGCTCCGCCATGCTAATGGTGCAATGTGCAAGGATCAGAGGCACGAGCGGCTCCGCCATGTTGGACTGGGCGGGGCCAGCATACAGTACCTGTTTTTGACCTAGGAATGTCACAGCTTAGATTCTTAAGCGCTTAGTGATTTAAAGGCGCAAAACAAAGTGCTCCTGGATAGTAAAAAAGTTACAGATTCACAATAAAACAGATTCAGACACTGTTGGATAAATGTACGTAGGCTTGGGAAAGAGAAGAAAAAGAATATAAAGAATAAAGTTAATGTCTTAAAAAGAAAAAGGGTAAAGTCTTTAAAGAGACAGAGTACAGAAGTACAGATAGTTATAGATTAAGAGAAATAAAGAAAAATAAGCCACGTAAAAATGGAAAATTCACAGAGAGTCTGGATTATGTACATTGTGTTTTCTTTAAAATTTTTGACTGTGAAGGAGCTAAGTACAGAGAGACATTTCATTATATGGGCTGCCAAGCTAAACCAAAATGGATTTCATGAGGGTATTATGATTTCAGAATTTGGGTCTAAGGATATGATGCTTTGGAGAGGGTCTTCTTTTGTTTTTGCAGAGGATGAGACCCTGTGGATTGCATCTATTCCGATTTGGTATGATAGACCACGCCCTCCTGAAAGGTTGCTGTGAACACCCTCAAAAAATTGCTTCGCTCAATTGCCAACTGAGATGAAACTAGCACACAGGTTATATCATGAACGACCTAATTAACGACGCCCCTATTCAGCAGGAAGCAGTTTGGAGAGAAAAAACTACGCCCATGTTCCCAAATATTGTTTATAAATGTTCTTTTACATTTAAAGGGGGATATGATATAGATATGAATAATTTGCATTGGTATGGATTTTAAGGTCAATTTTGTTATATGTATATGTATTTTTGATCTTGATTAAGGTATTGTGATTGTGTAGTTCATTTAAAAATGTAATGTATAATTAGGAAATATAGGTTGTTAATGGATAATCATCGCTAATAGTTAAGCTTGTAGTCATGTTAATTAGATTTTCTAGATATATAGAGATATATTTCAGTTAGATAGGCATTCTTCATATCTTTCAAAGACTGCAGAATATGGCATTTAAAATATTTTAATAACTTAGGACTTTTCATGACAAGGAGACACGTCTGCTCCTGGCAGCACCAGCTACTTCAAGAGGAAGATGGGCATCGAAGAGGATCCTTATGGAGTTGGATAGTCATTTGGGCAAGAAACTGCTCTTGCCTGGACTGTTGCATAAACTGGACACAGAGAACCCTCAGAGAGAGGACTGCTGAACTTGCCTAAAGGTGAGATGGTCTTTCGGGGTTCCTGATTCATGAAAGAGTCTGCGAGACATTCTGCAGGACACAGCAGAAAATGACTGAACTGTCTTTGAAATTTCCTGCTTCATGGAAATGTCTCTGGATACCATGGGCCTGTAGGCCGAAGATGGATGCCCCAACGGTACAGAGGAACTTTGGGTGACTGTCCAGGCAGCGAGATGTCTCTGTCATTTCTAGAGTTTTCTTATTTCTTGTTTACTTAGATAATATTATATCCTTCTGGAGTCTTTGATGGAGTTGAAGAATAAATAGTTATAGTTTTCCTTAGTTATGATAAGAGATAAAATAGATATAAATATTGTAACTGTAATTCTTACTTGATAACTGTTTTGTTATATGTAATTTTACTATGCTAAAGTTAAAGCCTTTCTTTTTTGTTTAAACGGAAAAAGGGGAAATGATGTGGGAATGATTTCTTACTAATAAAGAAACTGCCTTGGCCCATTTTATTGGATAGAAAATTAGGTAGGCGGAGTATACAGAAGAGAATTCTGGGAGAAAGAAGGTTAGAGGAGGAGTCGCCATGATGCTCCCACTCCAGACAGATGCAGGTTAAGATCCTCTCTGGTAAGCCAGCTCATGGGCTACACAGAATATTAGAAATGGGTTAGAACAATGTGTAAGAGCTAGCCAATAAGAAACTGGACCTAGCCGGGCCAGGCAGTGTTTGAAAGAATACAGTTTCCGTGTAATTATTTCTGGGTATAAACTAGCCATGCGGGCGGCCAGGTGCCGGGGACGCAGCCCTGCCGCTCCTATTTCAACAAATCTCATTCAAACCATTGTACCAAGTAGGAACCAAGTACTGAAACATAAGAGCTTATGGGGCAACATTCTCAACATGACCACCAGATTGTACTTGTTACTAGCTGAGGTATGGGCTCAAGACAGTGGCAGAGATGCAAGAAAACAGGCTAACCAGCCCAATTTCATATGAGCATTTACTTATGTCATGACAGCTAACATTCTATTAGATAAAGCAAGACACACGGTCGGGCCAACATCTGCATACCTAGCTCTAGCAGGAGAAATCATTAAGCCGCAGAGCCAAAGACTTGGAGACAAAAATAGAATAATTAGAAACAATGATGTAATTTTCCACGATAACACAGTACCTCACACAGACTACATCAGCAAGAAATTGTACTTCTGTTTATTTTCCTCTTCTTGAACAACTTAACTTATCCTTATCCAAGAATTTTCCTAGTCATATTTGCAATGCTCTACTCTGAGCACACATATATTTTTAATAATTAAAGTAATGATTTTAATAAGAAAATGAAGGCAAGTGAGATGGCTCACTGGGGAAAGGTGCTTGCTGCCAAGCCTAGTAACCTAAGCTTGAACCCCATGACCTACAGGATGGCAAGAGAGAACTGATCTCCAAAAGTTGTCTTCTGACGTCTACATATGTGCACTGTGACACACACATGCACACATACACACACAATAAATAGGAGAGAGGGGGGGGAGAGAGAGAGAAGCATTAGGTGAGAACGCTCTGAAGAGCTCCACAGACCAGGCAAGCTGCAGTTTCCACTGCGCCATAATTTATGTTAGTTTATTTCTCTTTAGGGGATCACACTCAATTAGGAATGTACAACGTGTACAAGTAATTCACATCGAAGTCTCCAGTGTGCCCCACTGGCCTAGGATGAATCACATCTGCTGTTACTTGGCTCAGTTAAACTACTATTGTTCCACAATTACCCAATCTATACAGTGTGATCTGGGAGCCTCCAAAGATCCTTCCTCATCTTTGTCCTGCCTAAATAATTTAGCATGTGGCACATTAATGGGCATGCCATTCAGCCCTGCTTGTCAGAGCGTTCTTAGAGAACATGAGCCTCTCAAGATCCCCCTTTAAGGTGAGATTGTTGCACAATTAGTTTCCTCTCGTGCTGTGGCTTGCCTTTTTCTCTTCTTGCTTTATTAACCTCTCGACTCATTTGAATCCATAATATGAGTGCACATGTTAGCACAGCGGTGCCAGTTTCTTTGTGTTCTTCTTGATGGAATATGTGAAGATCATATCATGATCAAACAGTTAATACCTCAGGGCAACGTGAAAATCACTCATAGATAATTGAAGAGCTTGAATGGAATTTTAATCCTTAGAAGTCGATATCTACCATTAGGATGTGTGCTTAACCATTAAGATGTCTTATTACAAAAGAAGATCACTGATATCTCTTCTTGCCTTTTCTAGGATGTGGTAGGCAGTGGGCAGACAAGTTCAGACAATGTATTTCCCTGTTACCGCAGCCTTACCTCATTGCTACTATTCTCTTCACTTCACAGGTGGAGAAACCGGAGAACAATGAGAGCAGCAGACATGACCAGGGTTGTTCCCAGAGACAGCCCAGGCCTCAGAGCTGTGAGCCTAACAAGGGCTTATTCCAGCATCCTCTTTCCACTAGACTTCTTCATAACCATTGCTCCTTCTTTTTAGTTCTATGACTCATGGTAAGTAAAACTCCTTACTATTCCATGAAAATATTAAACATTAAGTATATTTAAAAAACATAAGATTAAAATGCCATCTTTCAAACTATCTTTTGTTAAATGAAAAACATATTCTTTAATATTGAAATTTCCTCTCCCATTTTAATACTCAGACTTTTACAGAATTCAAATCCGTCTATGGCACCCCACTTCCCAGGATATTCATATATTCATTCTCTCTCTCTCTCTCTCTCTCTCTCTCTCTCTCTCTCTCTCTCTCTCATCTCTAAAATAGAATCTCCACACTCTTCATAAGTGAAAGAGTTTTGCATCTGTGGCTCCAAGTTTAGAATATTATCTCAAAAATCACTTACTATGATCTTTAGGCTGAAATTTCCATAAAACTAGTGTAACTTTTCTTAGGGAAGAAAAATTTCTGGAAGTGTTCCTATCCACTCCTTCATACTAGTGTGGATGGGAGACAGTTAGAAGCCACTACTGAAAGACAAGCTCCTGAGACCTCAACAATCTCATCTGCCTGTCACATTTAAAGACCTAGCACAGACACTGAAGATTCTGGGCGTGCAACTGAGCATCATTAGGTAGATAATAAACTACAAGTGGCTGCTGCATGTTTTAGAGAAGACAATGGAGTCCTTTGTGTATTTCTCCTACCTCTAGGACAGTATCCTTTACCATACACAGCCGAGCTGCACCGTTTTGGTAAACAATGGGAATTTTCCCATTAAATGAGCCTAGCTCACTGCCACAGCACTTAAATTTTGGCTTCTGGGATGGAATGCACCCAAGAATGCTGAAGTCAGAAACCTCAGTTGGTATTTTAGGTCCTTCACTGGCTAGTGTATACATCCTTCTGCCCTCTGTGTTCCTTGGGTATCATCTATTAGAGAAGGTTATATACATTCTTATGAATGACCTTTTGGCTAAGTAAGAGGTTGCTTGAAGGTTGACTTTATCATTGTGGATAATTTTACAGCTTTCTCAATAGAAATAAGAGATTACTTGTTATTTTTTTCATAGACATGTTTTATGCACTTTGGGATTTTTTTATAAGCATCTTGAAAAATTATTTGAACCAGTCTAAGATTCTAGAAGACAGTATAAAATTTAATGCAAAGATACACATTTTCTGTTCTGAATGCCTAGTCTAACTTTATAGAAGTTAAATGTTGTATAGACTTTGAATCTGGTTCATTTTTGGTGTGTAATGCTTTTATTTGCGAGTATTTTTTATAAGAAAGTTTATAAGATTAAAAAAAATCCAGCAACTATCTTCTCCACTGCATATTTTTAGTAAATAAGCCTATGATGCCCAGAGGTGCGGAAGGACTAGCTTGCTTGTTATTCTGCTAAGCCTCAAATGTGTGTTTGTAAATTCCCCCCATATAAGCCCATTGTTTATAAACCTAAATGGTACCCCCTATAAATCCTGCTTTTTTGATAGACTCCAAAGACAATGAAATCACAGCTAATGGGTGACACAACATGAGTCACAGACACACATTACCTTGCTCTGTTAATTTTTGGTCAGGGAAGGGACGTATCTTGATAAAATTTGTAGAACGTCTATTATAAGTAAAAGACAAAGAAATGAAACAGTCAGAGAATGGACAGCTTCTCAGCAACTGAAACTTTCCATTTTAGAGAAAGCATCATTTATATATATATTTATATATATATAGTCATATATAGTTATATGTATAGTTATATCACCTATAAATCATTCTGCCCGACATATTGCGCCTCATAGGATTTTCAACATGCTTGAATATGCCAAAGACTCCATTGATCTAAATGAGTGAGAGAAGCCATGCTGTGCAAACAGAGAGCTCTGTCACCAGCAGTCGTGTTCACTGGAAAACTGCCCTCTCCCTCCTGCTTGGCATCTGTTTGTCCTTCAGGAAGTAAGTGTGCAAAGGGAAGAGCTGAAATACCCGAGTCCCCAAAAGCAAACTGTGACCTTCCAATATTTATTATTGTGGGGAACCATGGCTCACATACAAAGGCAAAATCAAATCAGGTTATATTAGCGTATATTTAACAGGTATTTTTTTTCTCTCTTTTTAAAATGGTTTCCTCAAGGAAACTTCACATGTACCCCATGAGGAGTACTGTCTCTAGACAATCCCCGAGAGATGAGCTGACTTGGGAAAGGCTGCCTGGTTTGAATGCCACAGCCTCCACAGAACAAGCCTGCTAGTTTTTCTTCATATTTTGCCAGAGGCCCTTTCACTACTGACATAGAACCTAGAGCAAGGAGTCCCCAGAGCATCATCTGAGCACCTTCTGTGGGTGAGAGGCTCTCAATGGGAATACACCACACTGCCACCTTTCACAGCTTGAGAAGTAAGGCACAGAAAAATCAAATAATTGTCCCCAAACCTAACAGCTGGCAGGTAACATCTTAAAAGTCTCTGTATTTGGAAGCAAACTGCAGATGTTTCAGGCCCCTTTTCAGTTTACAGAGGGAGAATGAGACACACTCTTAAATAGAACCTTCTATCATTCCATAAAGATTAACACCTGCTACTGGCATGACTTTGGAAGCATTCTTTAATATTTAAAAATAAAAACAGCTGCTTTTCTCCCTTCTATAACTAAGCCTAACAAACACACCATTCCATATACGCATCCAGTGTGCACAAAGATGAGCGAAAGTTAGCTATCCACAGAGCACAACAGTGACTTTTTCTCACCGACTTAGCATGCTCCTGAACCCACCAACTCATGTCTTACAACTTCCTAGAAAACATAATCATCACCTATTACCAATTGCAGCTTCCGAAGATGGCCATTTCTAACTCAGTTTATCCCCCCACCCCAAGCAATAGGGGTGAGAGATGGGTCTCTCATTGCCTTGGCCTCAGCAAAGATCTTTCTTTGGTAAAGCACAGGCAGTGTGCGAACGCCCTGCCTGAATCTAACTCTCAGCCATGTCTACAGTCCGTCTCTGTCCACAGACACAAGGCTCTTCATTTGCTGATGCTGTTGGCTGCTCCCTGACCCCCATCAGTTTTCCTCAGAGTTAGGGCAGATTCCAGAGCCACAATCAAGTGAGTGTCTCCAATATCCTTACCACACGCTTTGCATACTTTGTGAATATAGCTGCTCCCCTGTTTTATATAGGAGAAAAGACATAGATAGCAGCGTGTCTTTCCTTCCTAAAGCCTAGTGACTGAGCAAGCCCAGGCAAGAAGAATTTAGCAATTTGTTCTGGGATTCTACAAGCTTTGGATTTCCCACAGTTTTATTTCTCTAAAACCTTGTAAAATGTCACAATCACAGACACACACGCAACATATACTGTCCATGTCTTTAAACATGAGTAGACAGTAATTAGACTCTGCATTTGATAATGAAATTAGCCTCGGGGGGTTTCATGTTTACTCATCACAGACAACATGTCCTTACTTGGCTCAGATATAAATTTCCAGGGCACTTCATAGCTATTTGCTGCCAAAAGAAAGAGATCCATGTGTTTCAAGCACTAAGATCTCCACAAAACACACAACTGTGGACCTTGTGTTTTGGCTCAGAGTGTTCTAGACTGGGAACCAGATTATGATGTCCTAACATCCATATTTACTCTTGTACCACCTGGTTAGCAAACCTTTGTTCAGGCAGAGTGTGGAAAGGGTGTCTTTCACCACCTTTACCGCCCCGCAGACCACACAGCTGCAGAATTCCCACACCCATGCCAGCTCATCCAGGGCTGCTCGTTCCCAATAAAAGCTTGCTCTGACAACTTGCCAGAAAAACTATTCCTGAGCTTTTAGAGGATTCCTGGAGAAAGGGATGAAATCCAAATTAGAAAGGAGATTCAAAACTGGGTCTCCGGCTTCTCTCATAAATGAGAACCCTGTGACTTGAGAGTATCTGCCATCTCTCCTTCTGACACACATTGGATTAGGACATCAAAGAGAAGTCTGCACAGAGTCTGCGCAAGAAGATTGCAAAATATGTTTCTGTAATTATTACCAGGTTCACTTGGGGACAATCAGCAACTCCACCCTATATGTAAAACCTGGTTGGGCAGGTGCCTGTCGGGGTTTCTTAAAACCTTCCCTAAGATCTCTGCAGCAAACCACAGGATAGAGACATACACAAAAAGAATATATTGTCTCCTACATATGAAGGCAGGGCATACAAAACCAAGGCTGCTTGGCCCCATTTGTTATGCTGAGGCCTGAGTGGCTGAAGGAATACTTCCAGGCCTCCCTCCTTGGCTTGTGGATAGCTGTATTTTCTCCCTGTCTCCTCACTAAAATTTTACTCCCCTATGTATGAATAAGTTTATGAAAAGGAAAGTCAAATTAGGTCAAGGCTCACACTCATGGCCTTGTTTTATGTTGGTGTCTTCTGGTTCAGAGGCTCCCTGCATGCTTCTGCCTAACTGCAGTTACTGGTCTGGGGCTGGGCTCCAACTTTCTGAAGTGTCCCAAGGGATACAATAAACTTCACAGAGTCAATGACCACACTGGGCAAGGACTGGTATTGACTGCACCTAGAGGACTGTGAGAAACACTAAAGATGCTCCCTTCCGGGGCCATATTGAGCATAAATACAAGCCTCCCTGTACTGTTCACGCCCAAAGGCTTTGGGCAAGGTGGGTCTGAGCTGCACACTTTCAAGTAGAACAGGTTGGGGAAACCCTCCCTGCCCGTTCAAGTACAGACCAGTCCTTCCCCCAAGACACAGGAGTTGCCTGTGGCCCCAATTCCCCCAGTAAACCCCAGTTCTTGGCAAGGATGGGGTACTGTCTCCTTAAACGTAACCTGAGGCGCTAGAGGTCAGTGCTACCACACATGACAGATTTCAATCCAAAATAAAATGTCACTACCTAAGGATGATGGAAAACTTTTTTAAAATTGTGCTGTATTTATGCAGTAAGCTAGTATATTTCACCAAATGTTACTAAGGGCCTGGTGCAGACACAGCAGAGACACTAAAAGGACCTAATCTGATTGAGCCACTACACACACACACACTATAAATGACAAAAGGCAAGATAAAATTTATAAATTGAGCTACTCCATTCCAAATCTTTTTTTTTTTTTTAAGTTTTCCAAGACAGGGTTTCTCTGTGTAGCTTTGGTGACTATTCCGGAACTAGATGTTTAAGACCAGGCTGGCCTCGAACTCACAGAGATCTGCTTGCCTCTGCCTCTTGAGTTCTGGAATTAAGGCTGTGTGTCACTACCACCCAACCTTAAATCTGACTTATTTTTAAGCAACATTTTTAGCCATAATTAAATTAGTATCTGAGAACAAATAGAAAACCTCCCTGGGGTTGCTTTAGACACAACAGACAAGTGCTTAGGGCTCACTGTATCAACAGGATGCTTGTGTTTGGCTCTTCTGCTCTGGGTGATGGGGCCTATCTTATGCTGGAAGTTAATGCAACATTGAGCTGTCATGCAGGTTTAGCTTAGTTTTCACAACACTGAGACAAGTATTTCATATTTACACAGAAGGACATGGAAGCTCAGAGCCCACAGATGACCTGACCAAGCTTACATCACTCTTGGCAGTGAAGACAAGGTTTTAACTTAGCAGCTTTCAATATCTCCTCATTAAACTGTCCCTTGTAAAGTAGAGGTAAGGAGGGAGAACCTCCATGGACACAAACTTGTTTTGTGTGTTGTGTCTCAGCCAACATGCACCTACGCTAGGCAGCTGTTTCATAAACATGTTTTGTGTCCCACAGGACCTACCAGTGAAAGGCTGTAGATACGTTACAAGAAACAACTCAAAATGAATGCTTGTCCAGCTTTAATTGGGTCAGGAACTAGCCACCTAGCTTCTCCCATAAAAGAAAATGTAGTTATAAATTCTATTATAGCCATATCAGACAAGAACCACGTAATTCCACACGTCTCTGTGACAGGTTTTCCTATAGACTGTGTTAAGTACTAGAGTTGGTGATGCGGAGGAGAAAAATAGCTACAATAGAGCATTGGGAGGTTGAGCTTTCACACCATGACTCTTACAGCCAAGCAGCCATGCTCTTAGACATAATCACCTGATATGGCCGATTGTGCCACCAGATCACAGCAATAGCCTTTTATTTCCCGCCCCTCCCCTTCCACCAGTGCCTTCTTTGTTTATTAAAAGTCAGCCTCTGGGATATGGAGGCAATGCAAAAGTTCACTGTGTACTGATCTTGAGAAGGACTTGAGTTTGAGTCCAGTGACCATGTCAGGCAGCTCACAATCACCTAGAACTTCAGCTCCAAGGAATCCAATATTCTTCGCAGGTATTTGCACACACATGTATACAAGAACACACAAGGGGGGGTTAAATTTTAAAGTGTCGCGTTCAGCCTCGACCCACAAGGATGATGCAACACCCGGAGCTCTTCTTGCAGCAGTTTATTCAGGACTTTATTCACAGCAATCTTTCTCCTTCTCCTTCTCCTTCTCCTTCTCCTTCTCCTTCTCCTTCTCCTTCTCCTTCTCCTTCTCCTTCCCTTTCTCTTTCTCTTTCTCTCTTTCTCTCTTTCTCCCTCTCTCCTCTCCTCTCTCCCCGGGCAAACCTCTCCCAGCCCTTAAAAAGGCACAGGCTGCCAACCCCGGATTGCTGGGTGGGCACTGCCCATAGGTCCATGCACATGCAAGCAGCTGACAATCATTGCGTGATCACAGCATAAGTCAGGTCTTAGCCATAATTAGGAGCTGATTATCAGGTGTGGCCCCACACAGCTCGCTACAGTTCCCCCTTTTGTTTTGTAAAGCAACAGGCAAGAGTAGAGGTCTGATCTCTGTTAAAAATGAAACATGTACTAGTGTCTGTCCAGATGTCATCCACTCAGAGAACACTAGACCTGTCTGGTGTCTTTTTAGAGAGGTGGGAGTTAGATACCAACCCACATGCAATCAGACTTGCTCTTCTTGAGGCTGATGTA